AATGTACATACATTGCTTTCATACTATAGACTATATACAATGAAATTTATTTATAAATAAAATTATTTATTTATATATAATTCAGAACGTAAAAAAAGAAGCAGGAACTGTATCCCATATTGGATATCAACATCGCGGCGCAGTCGCCCAAGGCATCGTCGTCCATCTGTGCTTCCGGGTTCGCTTTCCAATCCAAAATGGCGGCTGCGTGAAATCAGCGAATTAAATAACTGTACAGTAGTGTTGTCACGATACCAAATGTAATGTTTCGATACCGATACCAAGTCAAGAATCGCGATTTCGATACTTTTTCGAAACTTTTCCGGAAAAGGAAAGTATTTCTTACAGGGCTTATTCCTTTGTGTAGGTCTGTGCTCTTTAAATGCTGTAATAACCTAATATAAATAAATCACTGACAAACATGCACATGCTCTGATTATAATTATATAGCTTATAGATCATTTTAGCTGATGTTTTGTATGCTTTATTTTAGCAGCTTGCAAATTAGTTATGCTATCTATGAAAGTTGGGGTGAAAGTTGTACAGCTAATACAAAAATAGATGAAACAACTACAGTTAAATAGCAGATAATTAATTTATTTCGCCATTAAATAAGAGATCTAGCGCTAAAATCTGTTGTTTTTTAAATCAAGCGGAGCGTTCATTTTCACTGCTATCAGTTGCATGGTCTTTTGCGGCTCGCGTTCATTCAGACGCACGCTTCATTCCATCACCGTTACAGAGACTATTGTGTACAGGCCGCCGGATGGTGTTGCTAAGAACTTGCAAAGTATGTGTGATGTGTGGCGTAGATGTAGGAGTAGCGTAAGCTTCGAGCCTCTCGCGGTCGTTTGCCGGAAGCTAGTTATTTTAGTTGGTAAAGATTTAAATATGGATATTTTTTGAATATTAGAGATTTTAATGGTGTGTGTGTGTGTGTGTCAGTGGGACGAGGTGACGGGGCTGGATGACGAGGGCAATAGCGTGCGCACGTTCCAGATCTGCCCGCTGGAGAGTGTGTCGAGCCACTGGCTGCGCACGAGCTTCATCCCGCGGCGCGGCGCGTCTCAGGTGTACGTGGAGCTGCGCTTCACCATGGTGGAGTGCTCGTCCCTGCCCAACGCCTACAGGACCTGCAAGGAGACCTTCAACCTGTACCTGTACCAGAGCGACGAGGACACCGCCACGCTCACACACCCCGCCTGGATGGAGAACCCCTACACCAAGGTACACACACACACACTTAACATTATCGTTACGGTTCTAGATATCATTATTATTCGCAGTGATCGCATGCTAACGTGTGTATGCTGTGTTGTGTAGGTGGACACGGTGGCGGCGGACTTCCTGTTGCGTCGGGGCGGCGAGAAGAAGTCGAACGTGAAGACGGTGCGCGTGGGTCCGCTGGCGAAGAGGGGCTTCTACCTCGGCTTCCAGACCCAGGGCGCGTGCATGGCCCTGCTGGCCGTCAGGGTGTTCCTCAAGAAGTGCCCCCCCGTCACACGGGCCTTCACCTCCTTCCCAGAGACGCTCCCTCATTCGCTGGTGCAGCAGGCCGGGGGCGTGTGCGTGGAGAACTCCGCCCCCCTGAGTGAAGCTCCGCCCACCATGTTCTGCGGGGAGGATGGGCAGTGGGTGGGGCCTCCGTCGTCATCCTGTGCCTGTAGACCTGGACACGAGCCCGTGGACTCGGACCGCTGCAGGGGTGAGGGACCTGTCTGTCTGTCTGTCTGTCTGTCGTCTGTCTGTCGTCTGTCTGTCTGTCTGTCTTTCGTCTGTCTGTCGTCTGTCTGTCTGTCTGTCTGTCTGTCTTTCGTCTGTCTGTCTGTCTGTCTTTCGTCTGTCTGTCTGTCTGTCTGTCTGTCTGTCGTCTGTCTGTCTTTCGTCTGTCTGTCTGTCTGTCGTCTGTCTGTCTGTCTGTCTTTCGTCTGTCTGTCGTCTGTCTGTCTGTCTGTCGTCTGTCTGTCTTTCGTCTGTCTGTCTGTCGTCTGTCTGTCTGTCTGTCTGTCTGTCTTTCGTCTGTCTGTCTGTCGTCTGTCTGTCTGTCTGTCTTTCGTCTGTCTGTTTGTCTTTCTTCCGTCTGTCGTCTGTCTGTCTGTCGTCTGTCTGTCTTTCGTCTGTCTGTCTGTCTGTCTGTCGTCTGTCTGTCTGTCTTTCGTCTGTCTGTCTGTCGTCTGTCTGTCTGTCTGTCGTCTGTCTGTCTGTCTGTCTGTCTGTCTTTCGTCTGTCTGTCTGTCGTCTGTCTGTCTGTCTGTCTTTCGTCTGTCTGTTTGTCTTTCTTCCGTCTGTCGTCTGTCTGTCTGTCGTCTGTCTGTCTTTCGTCTGTCTGTCTGTCTGTCTGTCGTCTGTCTGTCTGTCTTTCGTCTGTCTGTCTGTCGTCTGTCTGTCTGTCTGTCGTCTGTCTGTCTGTCTGTCGTCTGTCTGTCTTTCGTCTGTCTGTCTGTCGTCTGTCTGTCTGTCGTCTGTCTGTCTGTCTGTCTTTCGTCTGTCTGTCGTCTGTCTGTCTGTCTGTCTGTCTGTCGTCTGTCTGTCTTTCGTCTGTCTTTCGTCTGTCTGTCCTAATGACAAAAGCAGTCTCTCTCTGTGTGTGTGTGTGTGTGTGTGTGTGTGTGTGAACAGCTCAATGTAAAGCAGCTGTGTTTATCCTGAACGCTGTGTGTGAGAGCTGGTGTTGTTAATAGAGCTTGATGAAATGCTCTTTTAATGAGTGGGAATTGGTCTGTTGGGTGTGGTTGAGGATTATGGGTAATGTGATCTGTCTCTCTCTCTCTCTGGATGTTCGTCTGCTGTTGTTTTATTCAGTGTAATCAGACTGACTACAGATGGATGATGATCGCTCTGCCCGTTATTTCTCCATCCTCGTTAGTCTTCATAGCCCATATTGTGCTCCTCCACAGTCCTGATGTGTTCAGGCTCGACTAGATCATGTTTTCCTGCTTGAATGTTGATTATTCTCCTCATATTCTCCATTGTTGCGGCTCCTCTCTTCCCAGTCTGTCAGTAACGCTCTGTTTACTTCCTGTCTCTGTGAAGCCCCTCCTCCTGAAAGCACACTGTGCTCTGATTGGTCGGCTGGAGCAGTGTGTTGTAATTGGTCTTCGAGTGTGTTTGGGAAATGTCCCGCCCCTTTCCATAACCGCCAGTTTAACACACTACTAACTAACTCAACCAGGCCCCGCCCCTTTATTCTGCGCATGAATTATTATAATGAGGAATATTGAGACGTGTTCCCGGGAGAAACTCAAGACTTTCAGAAACACTGACTGCGATATAGAGGAGAACTGGAGCTTCTCATGATCACACACACACACACACACACACACACACACACACACACACACACACAGATGGGAACAGCAGATCATGTGCTCTCTAATACATTGTTTATGTATTATTTATGAATTATTTATTTATCTTGTATTTTTGAGGATGTCCACAGAGGAGCTTTTGTCACATTTAACTCAGACCTCGTAGTTTAACTAAACACACACACACACACACACACACACACACACACACACAAAGAGAAGGCCAGTACAAAGCAAGCGCAATTAATACAAACAAATTCAGCCACCTGCTTCAGTGTGTGTGTGTGTGTGTGTGTGTGTGTGTGTGTGTGTTTGTCAGTCACACGCCCCGTCTGACTCTATTATTTGAGTACAACAGGCGGGTCATTGAGGGCCTGAGACCAGATTGAATGTGTTTAACCAACACCAGCCCCCATACACACACACACACACACACACACACACACACACACCAGTTTCTCTCTCAAAGACACATACTCACGCCTAGTGTTGTCATGATACTAGAATTTCTAACTTCAATACGATACCTTGAAAAATAACGATATATTCAAGTGCATTTTCAAGATCACTTCGCTTAGTTAATTATAATTACCCTTTCGTTTAACGATGATTAACTCTGGTGTTCCCAGTAGCACTAGACTAGTTGATCTTCCCTAATGCTGGATTTCGTAGTATTGATGTGTGTGTGTGTGTGTGTGTGAGTATGTGTATTTGTGAGAGAAACTGTGTGTGTAATTGTTATACGCTTTGTTAAATGTATTTGTTAAATGTATATCCTTAAAAAATTGTTAAATTCAATACATGTTTATAAAAAAAAGAAACTGTGTGTGTGTGTGTGTGTGTGTGTGTGTGTGTGTGTTGTGAATGTCCTCTCATGTCTCTCGTGTGTGTTTTCTTGTAGCGTGTGGATCAGGCCAGTATAAAGCATCTGTTGGCGAGAGTGTGTGTCGCGCGTGTCCAGATAACAGTAACACACACTCCGCTGGATCTAGTGTGTGTCTGTGTCGCGCAGGATTCTACCGAGCAGCCAGTGACCTCCCAGATTCAGCCTGCACCAGTGAGACACACACACACACACACACACTCTATCACACATACACACACACTCTCATGGACTCATGTATGTGACCTCTGACCCCCCCAGAGCCGCCGTCAGCCCCGCGCAGCATCATCGCTCAGATCAATGACACCGTGGTGACCCTGGAGTGGGCGGAGCCTGTGGACCGGGGCGGGCGCTCAGACCTCAGCTACAGTGTGGAGTGTGTGTGCTGCCGCGCCGGTGTGTGTGTTGCCTGCGCAGACAGCGTCACCTACAGGCCAGGCCAGGTGGGCGTGACCGGGAGGCGTGTCATCATCCGTGGGCTCCTCCCACACACCTCCTACACCTTCACTGTCCTATCCCTGAGTGGCGTGAGCGCTGTCAGTCACACAAGCCCCGCCTCCAGCAGCATCAACATCACCACCAGCAGAGACGGTCAGTGCTGAAGATCACACACACACACACACACACACACACACACACACACACACACACACACACACTCTATAAACGCGCAACTGTACTGATAACTGCAACGAGGAAACGCTTTCAGAGTGAGTTTCCTCTGACGAATACAAACATTGACAGCCAATCAGAATCAATCCTGTGTAAAATTAATTCATGAAAATGAACTAAAATGAGAACTAATGTTATCTATATGTATATATGTGCATTTATCATAATATCATCTCTGAGTGTAAACGATCCTGTCGGCAGATCCGTTAAGATAATACATTAACAGTGTGTGTGTGTGTGTGTGTGTGTAGTGGCCGTTCCGGTGTCCGGGGTCAGGAGGACTAAAGCGTCGGAGAGCAGTGTTTCTCTCAGCTGGACGGTTCCTTCGCAGAACCAGCACAACATTCAGGAGTATCAGCTGCGCTACAGTCTGAAGGTCAGCCGCGCTATCCTTAGAGTTACTGCTACAGTTATTAGCGTTATAGTTAACATTATAGGTACTGTTAGTTATTATTGTTAACATTATCGTTATATTATCTGTTATGCTTATTATTGTTAACAGTATAAATAGTTATTATAGTTAACATTATTGTTATAGTAATTATAATATCATAGATATCGTTATTATATTGTTCTAGTTATCGGTTATCGTGATATTTATTATAGTTATCAGTTTAGTTTTTTATAGTTATCATTAGATATTGTTATAGTTGTCGTTATCAGTATAGTTCTACATGCAGTGCTGTGTGTGTGTGTTCCACCTGTTCTTGACCCCTGACCTCTGACCTGTGCCGCAGGGTCAGGATGATGGATGGCAGTACATCAGCAGTAAGAGTAGCTCAGCGGTTCTGAACGATCTGGCCCGCGGGTCTCAGTATCAGGTGCAGGTCCGGGCGAGAACTGTGGCGGGATACGGTCACTTCAGCACCACTGCTACTATCAGCACGCTTCCTGACGGTACACACACACACACACACACACACTCTCACACACTCACACACACACACATCCTCATCTAACGGTGTGTGTCTCTCAGAGGAAGAGTCTCCGTCGCGGCTGATGCTCACTGGAGTGCTGGTTGCTATCGGACTGCTCATTCTCATCGCCGTGGTGATTGTTGCCGTGTTCTGCTTCAGGTGAGATATGTGACGATGTGATTGGTGTTTGGGTGGGGGGTTCATAACTATCATACATGCATTCAACTCTACCCGCTTACACACACACACACACATATATTCACATTCAATTCAGTGTGACTCTTCCTGTTCTGAGTGAGTGAGTGAGAAAACATCCAATAAACACACACTCACTCACAGCCTAAGACCTACACACACTTATATAATGTTCAATATTGTTTGTTTTTGTTTTTATATAAATGATTTTTAAATACTTTTTATTTTATTTACCAATCTTTGTTTATTTTTATTATTATTGTTTTATGATAACAGTATTTTTACTTTTGTGTACTAAATGTTCTAAATAATTGTCTGTTGTTTTGATGCTTTGGCAATACAAGATGTATTTTTTGTCATGCAAATAAAGCTTTCTGAATTGAATTGAATAGAGAGAGAGATAGGGCGAGAGAGGGCAAGAGAGAGAGAGAGAGAGAGAGAGAGAGGAGAACAGGATGTGTCCACCCAGTGCTGTCTCCATACAGACTCTTACTGGAACAATGAATCTAACCCCAGGAGCACACACACACACACACACACACAGACAGAAGTATGTCACACACACACACACACACACACTCATATAGAGATGAACAGCTGCAGGGTCTCTCACACAACAGACAGAAACTCACAGGAGTCATGCGAGAGGAATCCAGTCACACACACCAGTGTAATCTTATCACATATAAACACAGAATAAGATCACGCTGGTTTAACAGTGTGTGTGTGTGTGTGTGTGTGTGTGTGTGTGTGTGTTTCTCAGGCGCTCCAACAGGACCAGGGACCCAGACCCGGATAAGAGTGGCCAGTTCCTGATGGGTCCGGGTGAGTTTCTCCCACAGTCAGGAGTGTGTGTGTGTGTGTGTGTGTGTGTGTGTGTGTGTGTGTGTGTGTGTGTGTGTGTGTGTGTGTGTGTGTGATGTTACACAAACAGGTCCAGACCAGTGAAATGTGGACTTCAGTTGTCTACCGTTGCCAAGCAACAGCTGTTGATGCCAGTGAACCAACAAAACAACACAATGTGCTTTATAATATTTACATGAACTGTATTATTATTATTATTATAAACTCCAAAATGAATGAATATTTCTAATCTCAGCTGATGACACAATCATGTGTTCGATCAAGTAGGAAAAACTCTTTTTACAACAGACTTTCATAAATATAAATAAACATCAGGTTTGGTGCTGTAAGATCTGAACATTTATGACATATAACATCATTACACAATATCCAATATATATTCAGTCTGTCAGTTTTTAATATCGAGAAAATCCATAACTTCATCTAAAATATAAAAATAAAATCTAATTTATAATATTTTATTTAATTGTATGCCAATGATGCTAAGATAACACTGGTCGATTGCCAGATAGATATTCACTCATATGTAATTAATTATTAATTCATAGTTTATCTACATCATCTTGTGAGGTTTTAACTGAAATAAAGCCATAAAAGTCGTAATTTTAGTTAGTTTTAGTAATTTTACAGTGTATTTGTTTCACTTTTATTCGTTTTTTTATTTCTTTATATTTTTTTATTTGTTTTATTTTTATATTTTCTGTTTTCATGTCAATTTTAGTGGAAGTTTTAGGAATTTTGTTAACGTGTGTGTCAGTGTCATTGAGACTATGATAGTTTTATCAATTAGTTTTGTTAGAAATTAGGAATTTTTATACTTTCTTTGTAGTTTGTATTCATTTTCAATTCAATGTTAGTTATTGTAATAAATCGAGTTAAATGAGAAATGAGCTGAAATAAGATTTTCATTTTTTATTTCCGGTTTTCATTGTATTTTTACTTAAAGTTTTCGTTATTCTGTGTATTTGACGTTTTTAATACTTTACTTTATTTCAGTTAACTTTTATTTTAATTCAAGAAAAGGAAATGTACTTTTATGGTTTTATATGATGTGTGTGTGTGTGTTTCTCACAGGGATTAAAGTCTACATCGACCCGTTCACATACGAGGATCCTAACGAGGCGGTGAGGGAGTTTGCCAAAGAGATTGACGTGTCGTTTGTCAAAATCGAGGAAGTGATCGGCGCTGGTGAGAACCGAGTGTGTGTGTGTGTGTGTGTGTGTGTGTGTGTGTGAGGTGCGCAGGTGTGGCGCGAGTCTCATGTTCCCCGCATGAACAGCAGTACTGCAGAACACACACCTGATGAAAGCCCGTCTCGAGTGTCTCCATTGTGCCGTGTGAACGTGATCTCTCGTGCGCAGGGGAGTTCGGCGAGGTGTGCCGGGGCCGGCTGAGGGTCCCGGGCAGGAAGGAGAGCTGCGTGGCCATCAAGACCCTGAAGGGCGGATACACGGACAAGCAGAGGCGGGACTTCCTGTCCGAGGCCTCCATCATGGGCCAGTTCCAGCACCCCAACATCATCCACCTGGAGGGCGTGATCACCGCCTCCTGCCCCGTCATGATCCTCACCGAGTACATGGAGAACGGGGCGCTCGACTCCTTCCTGCGGGTGAGTGAGTGTGTGTGTGTGTGTGTTTGAGTGTGTGTTTGAGAGTCTGTCTCACCCTCTCTCTCCCTGTGCTCAGCTGAATGATGGCCAGTTCACTGGGATCCAGCTGGTGGGGATGCTGCGCGGGATCGCCTCAGGGATGAAGTATCTCTCGGAGATGAGCTTCGTGCACCGCGACCTGGCGGCCCGGAACATCCTGGTGAACAGTAACCTGGTGTGCAAGGTGTCCGACTTCGGCCTGTCCCGCTTCCTGACGGAGAACTCCTCCGACCCCACCTACACCAGCTCTCTGGTGAGCACACACACACACACACACACACACACACACACACCTACACCAGCTCTCTGGTGAGCACACACACACACACACACACCTACACCAGCTCTCTGGTGAGCACACACACACACACACACACACACCAGCTCTGTGGTTATTTGTCTAGTGTTTGCGTGATCGATCTGATTGGACTGGTTTTGTGGCAGTAATTTCCAGATTGTTTGCTGAAAATTCTCTTTTTTTAATTAAGATACAATATTTTCCCATCAGAATGTGCATTTTGAGCACAAAAGTTATTTTCGTGGCTTATTGCTTGGAATGGGTATGGTCTCTATGCACGGCGGTATTTCCGGTGAAGGATTAAGGATGCTCGATAACTTCCGCCGATCGTAGAGTCCAATGCAATACCGAGAATTTATATTGAATTTTATACTCCATGGTTATAATAAAGAAACGTTAGTCACAAAAACAGATAAAACAGACACCCCTCGTTGTGTTTATGCTTCTTTTTAAAATTATATAAAATAAACATAACTATATATAAAATTACATCTAAACGTATGTACGTTTCGTTTCAAAGACGGGAGGACAGTAAATATTGAAGACTCTGCCATAATCCCGTTTTCCTCGGTTCTCCTCCGCTTTAATCTACACAACCAGAAATGGACGAGCATCCTTACGTCAAATGCGGAACTTATGCGTGCATATAGCCCATAGTTTGAATTTAAAGGTTTCCGATTTCAATTCTGCTTATCGATTCCCAATTTCGATTCCAATAAGGCACAAAACACAACACCGTAGATATCATTCACCTTTACTGATATTGCAGAACCTCATCAGCTGAAGAACGCTTACACACGCAGTGTTTGCCTGAGCTTTAAACACACCAGAGGTGAACTAGCCCAACCAGAATTATTAAACACAAGTAAACACAGTTATTAAAGAAGAACGAATAAAACAAATCCAGCAATCGCAACAAATAGACACATCTGAACAAAGATACGGTTGAAATAAACAGTGTATTAAGATTATTAGGAACAGAACCTAAAATAACTGCACTTTATAAATATCCATACATTACAAAGATACTTACAAAAGTTATTCAGGACAAAAAGACGTCTGTTTGCTGATCAGTGATGATGCGTCGGGGATGATGCGTCTGTCATGCATCTGTGATGATGCGTCTGTGTCTGCGATGATGTGTCTGCAATGATGTGATGTGTCTGATGCGTCTGCAATGATGCGTCTGTGATGATGTGTCTGCGATGATGTGATATGCGTCTGCGATGATGTGATATGCGTCTGCGATGATGTGATATGTGTCTGCGATATGCGTCTGCGATGATGCGATATGCGTCTGCGATGATGCGATATGCGTCTGCGATGATGTGATATGCGTCTGCGATGATGCGATATGCGTCTGCGATGATGCGATATGCGTCTGCGATGATGTGATATGCGTCTGCGATGATGTGATATGCGTCTGCGATGATGTGATATGCGTCTGCGATGATGTGATATGCGTCTGCGATGATGCGATATGCGTCTGCGATGATGCGATATGATATGTGTCTGCGATATGCGTCTGCGATGATGCGATATGCGTCTGCGATGATGTGATATGCGTCTGCGATGATGCGATATGCGTCTGCGATGATGCGATATGCGTCTGCGATGATGCGATATGCGTCTGCGATGATGTGATATGCGTCTGCGATGATGTGATATGCGTCTGCGATGATGTGATATGCGTCTGCGATGATGTGATATGCGTCTGCGATGATGCGATATGCGTCTGCGATGATGCGATATGCGTCTGCGATGATGCGATATGATATGTGTCTGCGATATGCGTCTGCGATGATGCGATAGGCGTCTGCGATGATGTGATATGCGTCTGCGATGATGTGATATGCGTCTGCGATGATGTGATATGCGTCTGCGATGATGCGATATGCGTCTGCGATGATGCGATATGCGTCTGCGATGATGCGATATGCGTCTGCGATGATGTGATATGCGTCTGCGATGATGTGATATGCGTCTGCGATGATGTGATATGCGTCTGCGATGATGCGATATGCGTCTGCGATGATGTGATATGCGTCTGCGATGATGCGATATGCGTCTGCGATGATGTGATATGCGTCTGCGATGATGTGATATGCGTCTGCGATTATGTGATATGCGTCTGTGATGATGTGATATGCGTCTGCGATGATGTGATATGCGTCTGCGATGATGTGATATGCGTCTGCGATGATGTGATATGCGTCTGCGATGATGCGATATGCGTCTGCGATGATGCGATATGCGTCTGCGATGATGCGATATGCGTCTGCGATGATGTGATATGCGTCTGCGATGATGTGATATGCGTCTGCGATTATGTGATATGCGTCTGTGATGATGCGTCAGTGATGAAGACTCTCCGTGTTCCTCAGGGCGGGAAGATCCCCATCCGCTGGACGGCTCCTGAAGCCATCGCCTTCCGCAAGTTCACGTCCGCGTCAGACGTGTGGAGCTACGGCATCGTCATGTGGGAGGTGATGTCGTTCGGAGAGAGACCCTACTGGGACATGAGCAACCAGGACGTGAGTCTCACACACACACACACACACACACACACACACACGTAGTGGTTTTACATTTAGTCGTGTGTCCATTTTTGTAAATGATGTTTGGTCAGCCGGGCCCTGTCTTCATGCAGTGACGGTTTAGTCGACTCCAGCCTGGGCCGTTTAGGCTACTTTACTCCATGAACATGATGTCATATGTTCGTCAGGCTGCATAACGGTCACATCTATAATAATAAGCTAACGATTATCTTGCTTAACGTTATAATCACACTCTTTTCATCAGAATAATTGCATGATTGCCAGATTGCAGTTATTGAGTGAAACATCGGGTAGAAAACGTCTTCTTTTAACAGAAAAGCTCGTCTTTTTCCATCTGCGGTGTTGCACGTTGATATAGTTGGTTATCATTTAGTGACGTTTGTGTCGTAATGAAATGAACACATGGTTTACCGAACACACGTTAGTAGTTTTCATTTTGCTTTTTGATTTACGATGTCGCTTCACGCATTTTGATTTAGTAATATATAGTAAATGAATGGATTTGACGAGTTGTTATTCTGGATATTTTATTTCCGGTCGCGCTCCCTGATTTAGCTGTGCTAATTTCCAGAATTAGCTTTATGCACAGCTGCACTACTTCCTGAACTTCAGCCAGCTCCTTGTTTCCTGTCTGCCATTATTGGCCAAATTGATTAATCCAGGTGTGCCTGACCTCAGTTGTCATGGCAACAATAATCAGACACACCTGAATTAATCAATTTGGACAATAATGGCAGCCAGGAAACAAGGAGCTGGCTGAAGTTCAGGAAGTAGTGCAGCTGTGCATAAAGCCCATTCTGAGGACAAATGTGCCATGTTTATAGTTAGGATATTACTTCATTGTGATTTTTAGATTGCTTCAGCCTGTTTAATTAAAACAATCTGATAGATATAATTAGGGTTGGGAACCGAGAACCGGTGTTTTTGAAAAAATACCGGAACCGTGCAAAATTCCTAAGTTTCGGTTCCGAAAACGGTTCTGATGCCGATGCGATATCATCATGTGGGCGAAGTGCTGGGAGTAGAAGACGCCGTCTTATTCCTAAATGACAAAAACTTCACCACTGAAGTTGCGATTTGCTCTCACACACGCTACTGCGCGCGCCTGTTTGCGCTGAGAGAGAGAGAGAGCAGTTGTCGATATGAAACTGCTTTACAATCACACAGTCTCAATATTTATTTGTTTCACATATTCAAATGATTTCCGTTACAGAATTAGTGAGATTATAGTTTGAGTAAACATTGACGGTAGTGGTCAAAACAGATGCAGTCCGTATATTTTTTGTGTTCAGAATTTACAAAATATATACAATGAGCGAGTGCATCATAATGTTTTTTTTTTCAAACCGTGTTTTTGTCTTATCTTGAATCACTACGTAAAGCCTGTAATAAGCGTTAATACTCAGACTTCTTTAGACTGGCCGGCGGATCGCAGCTGCTGCGGAGTAGCCCAATGCCTGCGTGACTCGTCATGGACATAAACAGAGAGAAGTAGCTCCGGCAACAATGTTCTTCCGCAAGACGCATTTCTGTTTATTAACTGCTAGAGCGCCGATTTATCCAGTAATGAAATACGTAAAGTCTTAATGAATCAATCATTCAAACCGTTTTAAAAAATAATCTGTTCTACACACATATGTGTGTTAAAGCATATTCTACTCCTTCTGAGAGGGTATTCTTCACTGTTGGAGATACAATAAAGGAGAGGTCTAAATTATTATAGAGAATGCAGAATTTTTTAATTTCCTTTATATATATATATATATTTTTTTTTTTGCAAAGATTGCTTAATAATATTTTGAGTTTGTTTACATTACCAGTCTGTTAAACTAATTTGTCATGTACTATAAGAAATAAACACAAAAAGGATTGTGGATTTTTCTCTTACTAATATTTTTAATTGAATGGGAACCGGAACTGGAATCGGAAAATTTCTCACGATTCCCAACCCTAGATATAATAATGAAATATACAGTTGTAATTGAAATGATCCCTCCCCCGTTGCACATCAGGTTTATTGGCTAAATGTTCAAGCTTCAGCGGTTTGCAGTGAACCAATCAAACACAAGAACTTGACATAGCCAACACAACACACACAGTTAGCATTTATTTAATGGAGATTGTTTAAACACTGTAAGTTGGAGAGCGTCTGAATGCTGAAGGAGTGTGTGTGTGTGTGTGTGTGTGTGTGTGTGTGTGTGTGTGTGTGTTGTGCAGGTGATCAACGCCATCGAGCAGGACTACCGGCTGCCCGCTCCCCCAGAATGCCCTGCTTCTCTGCACCAGCTGATGCTGGACTGCTGGCAGAAGGAGAGATCGTCTCGCCCGCGCTTCTGTGCCATCGTCTCTGCCCTCGACCGGCTGATCCGACACCCCGCCTCTCTCAAGATCACCACACGCATCCCCGACGGGTCAGTGTGTGTGTGTGTGTGTGTGTGTGTGTGACAGGAAGTGTTTGGGTGGGAGGCTGAAATGGAAGTTAATCACCTTCACTGCTGCATCCTGCACTTTCCATTCTACATCACCCGTACACACTCTCTCTCACTGACTCACTCACACACACACACACTCACTCATGTGTAACGTGTGTCTCTCTCTCAGGCTGTCTCACCCTCTGCTGGATCTGCGGTCTCCTCCTCTCTCTCTCTGCAGTTCTGTGGGCGAGTGGCTGCGGGCCATAAAGATGGAGAGATACGAGTCGGGGTTCCTGCAGGCCGGCTTCACCTCCATCGAGCTCGTCTCAGACATCTGCACCGAGTGAGTCAATCACACTGTTTGGGTGCGCCCCTTTGAATGCTAATGAGCTTTAGCTCCGCCTTCCGGAGAGACTCAGTGCTTCACTTTTACATGTTTCTGAATGTTAGCGGAGAAGTTTGTGTAGTTGTTGTGGAGTTACACTGATCATCTCATCATCATGTTGAACTCTTCCACAAGTGTCCACAGTTCCTGAGTCAGTGTTTATAAGACAGCGCTGGTCACATGATCTGCTCAATAGTGTTCAGTTTCAGGCTCAGCTGATCTTCTCCAGTGTGTTAGAGCTGGGCTCTGTTGGCGCTCACTGAACCCAATGTGTGTGTGTGTGTGTGTGTGTGTGTGTGTGTGTTCAGGGATCTTCTGCGGATCGGCGTGACTCTCGCGGGACACCAGAAGAAGATCCTGTCCAGCGCCCAAACGCTCCAGATCCACAGCGGATCCCTGCGATACTGACCCTTCCCAGAATCCCCTGCTTCTGCTCTTACGGACCAGTCCGTCCACGACCCATCGGCCAATCAATGTGGAGCGTCACCGGCCCGCACCAGCCAATCAGAGAGAGGCTCTGGGTCTGGTTCTCTTAGACACGGACTGATGTCTGTTCGGGACCGTCTCCTCTCGTGGAGAGAGTTACTTCAACAGGAAACACGGGACGTTGGAACATGACGTGTCACTGTTGCCGTGCATTATGGGAGTTTAATCGGATCTTCACATTGAAGGTTCATTATAATTATTATTATTTTTATTATAATATGAGATTATTTTGTAATTATTTTGTACGTATCAAAACAGCACAAATAATGAACGAATGTTTGTTTAGCCAAAGAACTGTGGGAGCTGTCAATCAAACTGACTGTAAACCATGTGACCAATCACATTAAAGACTCATGCTGGCCCCTCCCACGAGAGCTTGTTTGATGTCCGCTTCATTCCAGCCGTCAGTGTTCTGCTGTTCGGATCAAACGTCTTTAATGACCAGATCGACACTCATCGGCTCACACTCGTTTAATAATCCAAAACAAGAAACTCAATCTTTCAAGGCAACGTTTGCACATCATTTTCATCAAGTTTATGTTTGACTTAATAAAAACTGCATAGAAATATGATAAAACTAAAAAAAAAGACAAAAAACCCTGAATTACTAAGAGTTTAAAATGATAACGCGAACAGAAAAGGTGAACTAGAAAGCGAATTTAACCGCCTGGTACCACTGTATTATATTCATTTATTAGTTATGATGTGTGTGTGTGTGTGTGTGTGTGTGTGTGTGTGAGTGATTCCTCATGAAACCCTGAAGGAGCCGCTGACAGATCCAGCAGAACATGCTCAACTAAACATTTTTATTTTACATAAAATAAAAAGGCCTCGTAAATCGAAGCCGCATGTCTAAGCAAGTTCTGTTGCGTCGACTGAAGCTCATGCTAACACCATCTCCAGTTTTAAAGCACGATGAGTTTGGAGTGTTTCAGCTTTTGAATGAATAATAAAGCAGGACACTGAGATTTAACAGGCTTTATTTCTCATATTAATCTCTGACGAGCTACAATAGACGTTTGCTTTCTTTTTAAAAAAAAAATACTTCTAATGTTAATTTTAATTGGCAAATGGCATGGAAACCAAAGGGGTCAATCTGACCCGCAACACAAGCGGAGTGAGCAGATGATCAACACACCGAAGGGTTTTCAAGGGTCATCAGCCGTGTGGAGCTGAAACACGGCAGTGATTTATCACACGGATCTCACAGGAAGTGCTCGGGGGATTACACACAGACATCATGTTTCTATCAGTGTTTGATTGACAGATGGAGGCGGAGCCGATGACGTCAGCGTGGATCTCTTCTTTAACCGCTGACAGATGGGAACATGGAGACTCTTTCAATCCCTCGTTAAATATGTCTTCATTTCTTAATCAGAGGAATATAAACTATATAACTAGAGCGAACATAAAACATCCCATCATGCTGCTGGATCCAGTTACAGTCGTGTGTGTGTGTGTGTGTGTGTGTGTGTGCAGTGTTTATGTTCTCAGATTATTTTTTAATATCAGTCGGATGTTCTGACACTTCGGGTTTATATTACAGAGTCAGAAAGAAACAAAAGTGGAGGTTTGATTATTGTACAGAGTTTAAACTCATGATGGATTCTGGTGTGTGTGTGTGTGTGTGTGTGAGTGTTTGTGTGTTTTGGAGACTCGCGTCTCGTTCTGTGATTCCGTTGATCTGAGCTCATCCGATCTGTAAACCAAACTCTCTTCATGTATATAGAGCAGTCGCCGTGTGTGTGTGTGTGTGTGTGTGTGTGTGTGTGAGAATGTAAATGGATGAGCGTATGGAAAGATTGGAGAGACGGAGCGGCAGGAGACGGACACATGGAGGTTTGCAGTGGTAATTGAAAACTGCTGTTGAAACCACAAAGTCGTGTTTGACATGAAGAGAGACTGTTTGAACCGTGACTGTGTGTGTGTGTGTGTGTGTGTGTGTGTGAGAGAGAGAGCGAGAGAGAGGGATTCCATTCTCCTCACTCCCCACTTGACCTCCGACCTCGACTGCCTGTGAAACCCTTTGGTTTCACACCCCACAGTGTGTGTGTGTGTGTGTGTGTGTGTGTGTGTGTGTGTGTGTGTGTGTGTGTGTGTGTGTGTGTGTGTGTGTGTGTGTGTGTGTGTGTTTCTGGAGCGTGTCAGAATCAATCACACATAGTTCTCTTAAACAGATCTGACAGTCACGCTATGCAGCAAACACACACACACACACACACACACACACACACACACACACACATTCTCACACACAGAACATTTCTTCCTCTTCAGTGGGTCTGGAACACACACACGCACACGTTGGTCAGTTAACCTCACATTCATTGGTTTACAGCTGTCAGGGTCGGGTTAGTTAACCCTAGAGGTCGTGACCTCTGATGTCACTGCAGCAGACAGTGTGGAAGAATCTCTCATAACTCACAATAACAGATGGCACCATAAACTCCGTCCGTCCATCAGCTGGACTGTAAGTTAACTACATGTCCACTTATTCTGCCAGTCCACATACACACTCTAATAAGAGTTACAGGACATGTAGGTGCAGCGTTACTTATGACATATACACTAGACGTCACCTTGGCTACGGCAGTTCATTGGAACGAATGTGTCAATAGAGCCGCCATCTTGAAACAGGGGAGCCCCTCCACTTTAATGCATCAGACACAGGTCTAACGGAAATAAAATCATAAATCATCATGAATGCGATTTTTCTTGTTTTTTTCGCTTGTTCCAACGGTCAGACATGTATTTATCATTGATTCCAGAAAGATTTTTTTTTTTTAAACATTCTTCCTAGTTCAGATTTCATCCGTGATCATCATACGCTGCACAAAAGTCCGCCACCATCAATGAATTCGAAGTAAAGGCAGAGATAGCAGCGTTACCTAGCTACTTCCTATGACAAGACCCCTGTTCCAAGATGGCGGCGGGTTTGACACATGCTTAGAACCCCAAGGTGACGTCTACCCAGATAGCAAACTGACATTGAATCAACGTGGAAATATGACATCGAAACAATGTTGATCTGACATTGTTTTGCTCATCGAATTAACGTTGAACCAACGTCAGACGCGTCATTCTTTCAAAACTAACGGAATATCAACTTGAAATCAACGCGTTGTTTCAACGTTATGAAAGCAAACCAATTTTCGATTTCATTTAGCTTTGAAGAATGCCGCGTCCGACGTTGGTTCAACGTTAATTCGATGAGCAAATCAACGTTGATTCAATGTCAGTTTGCTGTCTGGGTAGTGTATGCGTTACTTAAAGCAGGGATAGTTAACATAAACGAAATAGTTAAGTAAACATATATATGACGATTTAGATATATCTAAATATGTTTAGTGAAAGGTAAAACTTCCGAAATCTCCGTGTAAACAATGCGTGACGTCGACGAGCGAGAGATCACTTCCACCGTAACGTCTGGAGACGGTTCAGTTCGGTTCAGTTGGACATCTGATTCAGATCAGTTCGACGGCTGTTAACAAGAGGTAAAAATTATATAAATACTGTTCGTTTTCTCACACAAACCGCTTGTTTCGTGTTTTAGGCCATCAATGTGTACTTTCACGAGTCATTAAATCATGTTTAATTTGGACTTCTCTGTGCTGCTCTTTGGTGGACCCCCTAAAACTGCATTATATGACTGACAAACAACACCAGTTTGACTGAAAAATGTCAAAATTGAAAATACTGTGGAAACAAAGACACCTACATCTTGGATGCCCTTGAGGTACTTAAGATAAAACATATCAAACATTAATTTCAAAGTGAACTATCCCGTTAAACTCAACAGAATGGGTTAGAGACCATCAAAAACAAGTGAAACCCACACGTCAAGTACTAGCATGAGACAGGCAGAAGTTTTCAATACAAATATTTAGTTTATTGAAATTCTACATTTTTAATCGTTGGTAACGCGAGTGTTGAGTGAGGATGGAGAGCTGTATGGCAAGCCGTTTTAGCTTTTATTCATTTCTAGGATATGAATTCTTGATATCAAGAATTCAATTGTTGATATCAACAATTACATTTTTTGATATCAAGAATTTAATTGTTGATATCAACAATTAAATTATTGATATCAACAATTATGTTCTTGATATCAACAATTACATTCTTGATATCAACAATTACATTCTTGATATCAACAAATACATTTCTGATATCAAGAATTCAATTGTTGATATCAACAATTACATTTTTGATATCAACAATTGTATTTTCACTAGTGAAATGTCCCCATAGGCTGCCATTCAAAACCAATTGTTGATATCAAGAATTGATTTCTTACTAGTTGAAATTCCAATTTCACATATCAGAAATACAATTATTACTAGTAAAAAACTTTATTTATGATATCAATAATTCAATTGTTACTAGTTGAAATGTTATTCCTGATATCAACAATTGAATTGCTACTAGTAACAATGTTCATTTTTGATATCAATAATTCAATTTTCACTAGTGATAGTGTTAATTTCTGATATCATGAATGTGATTGTTACTAGTAAGAAAGCCATTTTAGATATCTGAAATAATATTGATATCAGAAATATATTTTCAGATATCAAAAATGTTAATTTTTACTAGTAACAATTGAATTGTTGATATCAAGAATAAACATTTCAACTAGTGACAATTTAATTATTGATATCAGGAATTCACATTTTTACTAGTAACAATGTAATTATTGATATAAAAAATGATATTTCTACTAGTAAAAAATCAATTCTTGATATCAACAATTCATTTTGAATGGCTGCCTATGCCGTTTTAGCTTTTATTCATTTCCAGGATATGAATTCTTGATATCAACAATGCCAATTTTTGATATCAAGAATTTAATTGTTGATATCAAAAATTGAATTCTTGATATGAACAATTGAATTCTTGATATCAACAATTCAAATCTTGATATCAACAATTGAATTGTTGATATCAACAATTGAATTGCTGATATCTGTAATTGTATTTTCACTAGTGAAATGTCACCATAGGCTGCCATTCAAAATGAATTGTTGATATCAAGAATTCTTTTTTAACTAGTAGAAATATCATTTTTGATATCAATAATTACATTGTTACTAGTAAAAATGTGAATTCCTGATATCAATAATTAAATTGTCACTAGTTGAAATGTCTATTCTTGATATCAACAATTCAATTGTTACTAGTAAAATTGTTACTTTTTGATATCTGAAAATGTATTTCTGATATCAATATTATTTCAGATATCTAAAATGGCTTTCTTACTAGTAACAATCACATTCATGATATCAGAAATTAACACTATCACTAGTGAAAATTGAATTATTGATATCAAAAATGAAAATTTTTACTAGTAGCAATTCAATTGTTGATACCAA